ACCCACCAGCCACTCCTCGGAAGGAAGATGGGGCAATCTACTTCTGTAGTGATACTGCCTCGGAAACCCAAGGAGGGGTCGCTGTGAGTTGGGTCTGACTCGACGGTACATAACAACAACAAATAAACTATTCGTTAAATAAGGTTTGCAGTTTGATTTAATAAAAATGTACTGAACCAGGGGCCACATACTAGGCCATGTTCTATGGATGCAAAAATGAAAGAGACTGGGTCTCTGCATTCAAAGTGCCTGTAGTCAGTCCAGGAAGGCAGGCAGAGCAATGGGCACCTGTACAGCAACGCAGCATTAAAAGATCTCCCAGAGGTACTTGTCAAGCACCATGGGATGGTGGCTGAATGTGCAATTAGCATGAGCTCTATAAAGAATGCATATAAAAAATTAACTCAAAATATATCAAGACCTAAATTTGAGACTAAAACTATAGCACTTACAAGAAAGCGTACAAGAAAATCTTAGTGACCTTGGGTTCGGTAAAGATTTTTTAAAAGAAGACAAAAATCACAAATGATTAAAAAGAAAAAGACCTCTTACTAAATTGGGGTAAGTTTTCCAGGACAAAGACTCCCTGTCAGGTGGGCTTTGCATCTCCATTATGGATAAATTTCAAAAGCAATTCCAATTCAGGAGGCCCTACCCACCCAGGCAGATACATGTTTCCCTTCTTTCTCATTGTGTCGCTCAACCAGCCAGTCCATAAACAACTCAAAATGGAAATGGAATTTCTTTCCCTACATCTTTTTCTTTCTTTTTTTTTTTTTTCATTCCAAAATTAGTTGGCTGGCTCCAGTGACGATGAATTTGCCCAGGATGAAGTAAAGCTGTGAACACTCTCATCACTTATCAGCAGAAAGGAGGTACGTGGATACGTAAACAAAACAACCTTTTCAGGTTTCTCCTGCTTTCTGACAAGTCTACAGGCAGAAACATTCCAATAGAAACATTCCAATGTTCTTGTATAATGCTCTTCTTCCCAGAAGGTAAAGTGAGCCATAAGAACAACTAGAACCAGGTCCACCAAGAAACAATTTTCTTCAAATGACCTACACATTGGTCTAAGGTTTGCTTTATGACCTGAATCTATAATAGTGACTGCTGTTCATATGTCAGACAGTTTTCCTACATTATCTCTTTTAATCTTCACAATATTATGATACTGATTTTCCCAATTAAAGAAAGTGAAGCTCAGCAAAGAAGTTATTATTTTCTGAGCTGGTGCCCTCCAAAGTGGGATGCACCCACTTCAGGGATCTGGAGATAATAGCGGAATAATGAGAACATTGATTCTTTCTTTTTTAATTTAAAAAAGAGGAAAATTCAATGTTCCAAAAATTCCTTTTATAGACTGTGGCTACTTCAGCCAGTCTCTATGTCAAACTGGCAGTGGTTCCCCAAGAGGAAGGGTCCCCCAAGGGGCAGGCATCAGCATAAGCACAGAGCACTACCAAGGTGCCGCCTTCAGGACCACGGGACACCGTGAAGTTCTGTGATGCATCGTGGCAAAGCATATCCATGGATATTCCCTCTTTTAACTAAAATAGCCCTCACTAAGCAGATGAGAGGAGCTCTGGTAGCATAGTGCCTAAAGGCACTTGACTGCTAACCAGAAGGCTGGCGGTTCAAACCCACCAGCCACTCCTCGGAAGGAAGATGGGGTAATCTACTTCCATGGTGATATTGCCTTGGAAACCCAAGGAGAGGTCGCTATGAGTCACATCCGACTTGACGGCACATAACAACAACAACAAGCAGGCGAGACTTGTGCAAAGAAAGTAGAGGTTGTAGACAAGACTCAATACAAGGCCAAGTAAACTTTTGCTTATTCCACCATGTTTCATGGAGCTGACATTTTGGGATTTCTTTGCCAGACACATTGGGAGATAAACACAAGGAAAAGCCAGTTAGAGCTCAGAGGGAGATGACCAAAACTTGAAATTATTAAGACAATTTATAATATGCGTTGACCTCCACCCTTGACATAGGTGTAAATTACCTAATTCTAATATAGGACTATCAGGATTAACAAGATATTTTAAAACTATAGACCTAGAATTTGAAGACAAATGTTTTCATTTTCCACCAATGTCTAAATTCAAGAATTAATTCTACATTTTTCAGAAGTTCACTAAAACTAGTAATAAATGTACAGAAGCTTCTTCTGGATTTCCCCAATCTATCAGTACAGTAATAGACTTATATGATGTATATAAGTTACATATATTGGAAGATAATTATATTTTTAACAGAAAGTATTACATTCACCACTTGTCTGTCCACTTGTTCTACTGTAGTGGCTTGCATGTTGTTTTCATGCTGGAAGCTATGCCACCAGAATTTCAAATACCAGCAGGGTCACCCATGGTAAACAGGTTTCAGTGAAGCTTCTAGACTAAGACAGACTAGGAAGAAGGACCTGGCGATCTACTTCCATAAAATTGGCCAGTGGAAACCTTATAAAGAGCAGTGGAACACTGTCTGGTACAATGCCAGAAGATGAGTCCCTCAGGTAAAAAGCATTCAAAATACGACTGGGAAGAGCTGCCTCCACGAAGTACAATCAACCTTAATAACAAAGATATAGTAAAGCTTCAGGACCTTCATTTGAGGATGTGGCACAACTCAAAATGAGAAGAAACAGCTGCAAACACCCATTATTAATCAGAATGTGGAATGTATGAAGTATGAATCTAGGAAAATTGGAAGTTGTCACAAATGAAATGGAATGCATAAAGATCGATATCCTAGGCATTAGTGAACTGAAATGGACTGGCATTGGCCATTTTGAATTGGACAATTATATGGTTGACTATGCCAGGAATGACAAATTGAAGAGGAACAGCGTTGCATTCATTGTAAAAAAGAACATATCAAGATCTATCCTGAAGCTCAATGCAGTCAGTGATAGAATAATACCCATACGCCTACAAGGAAGACCAGTTAATACCACTACAATTCAAATTTACACACCAACCACTAAAGCCAAAGATGAAGAAATTGAAGATTTTTACCAACATCTCCAGTCTATAACTGATCAAACATGCAATCAAGATCCACTGATAATAACTGGTTATTGGAATGTGAAAGTTGGAAATGAAGAAGAATCAGTAGTTGGAAAATATGGTCTCAGTGATAGAAATGACACTGGAGATCGCAGGATAGAATTTTGCAAGACTGGTGGCGTAGTGCCTAAGGCATGTGACTGCTAACCAGAAGGCTGGTGGTTCAA